TTCTACGCTGCTGTTACAGTGGGAGTTACCTGAGACACAGCACAGAGGATATGTCCCGAAAGCAAAAAAATATGGCATTGGTATCAGAACAGACGGAAAGAAATGTTTGCACTGTGTGTACATATGTGTACATGTTCCATTAGAGCTCTAATTACATGTTTTACTGGGCATGCACACTAAGCCTACTAGGGTTCCCCCTCAGGAACATGCATTTTATGGTACTTATAAATTATTTGTTTGCTGTTTCTAAAATAAGTGATTCTGCTACTTATTCAAGTGTTCTCTTCACTGCTCAAACAAAAGATTGTCGCTTTATATCACAGTATTTTCATTTCTTCAGGTATGTGTAACTTTCTGCAGCATTTAGTTCCTTTTCCATTGCCACACAATCATCACTTCAGCAATTACTTTTGTTCTTCTTAGATGTTTATGCATATTACTCATCTATATTCAAGAAAATCTTCAAATGTCCTCACATATTTTCAAATCACTTGGGGATGTCTGTCTAGAAGCTGTCCTTTCTCCATTTCCCAAAAGAAGAATGCTGAGAAGATGACACTTAATTTAACATATAATGAATTCCCATATTTCTTTCAACAAATAAAGGGCTTGTCATTTTTTAATATCAACTTCCAGCATCTTCTCTAGGATCCAGCTTGCTATACAAATGAATTTCAGCTGCATTGCTTTTAGTCTGAGCTCTCTGGAAGGAAGGGAGAGTTAAATCCTCTGATATTCTGTGCAGACTCTCCACATGCTGTCTAAGGCCCACTCCATGGGGTACTGGTCTGAGATTACTTTTTCTGATTTTCCTAGCTTTCTCTGTCAAAATACAACTATACAATCAAATGCTCAGGAAAGAGATAAATAAAAAAACTTTCCAGTTTTATGGTGAATATTGACTATATTCCTGATAGCAATTCCTGATGGACTGTTTTTTTTCACTGTGTTTCCTGATAGCAATCACTCTCCATAACATATTTCAGAGTTATGGGGTTTTTCTTTTTCATTGTATAGGCTGCAAATGTCATGACTAAAATATTGATTAGCATCTGAGTATTATCATACATATGCTATTTTAGAAAATACAATCCAGTTTCATCAAACAGATTAGCTTGGAACATTAGCCAACACCCAGTATTTGAGAGTTTGTGTCTTCCTCCACATTTATTGTTTTTCCACAATTTTGGCAGGAATAAAATGTTCAGTCACATAGAATAAAGCTTGAAATGCCTATGCCAAATCTATTTACTGCTGATGTTCACCATTATTTGCACCTACTTTATTGTGCTATATTTTTTGCTGTTGAGTGTTTGATTTGAAAATTTATCATGTAATTAATTATATGCAGTTAATTTGCCAAATTCCAGGAATCCTACAAAATTTATTCTTCTTTAGCATTTATTGTAGTTGATCAGACATTGCAGACAAAGAAGCACCTGTTGCTTATCAGTCCACCAGGTTCATAAATAAATATGCTTGACTTTGTGCAAACGATTAATGTTTCTGATTATCTGTGGCAGTGTTCTCATGTGTAAAGTTCAGAATGCTTGTGGAAACACTGAAAGTTTTAACACTAGTTCAACACTTTTAATTCTATCATGCCAACAAGAATTTTCTCTGATTAAGCAATAGATAGCATTTGCTTAGTAAATGTAGTCATGGCTATGCTGTGTCGCTACAACACAAAAAAAACCCTGAAACCAATCAAAAAATCCAGAATTATTTGGAAATTTTCCATCTGTGTTTTTTGAGTTGTCCAGCTTGTCTCTAGTCCAGCTTCTGAGACTGCAGAGCCAGTGGGACATAGTCATCTCTGATGGCCTTTCAGAGCAGCTAGTGAAAATCTTTTTCTTCCTCTGAATATTAAAGTGACATTTTTCATGAAGAGAGTGTTGAAGTTCCCTTCCTAAAATGGTTTTGAGAATCAACTGAATTACACAATATGGCAGCTGTGAAGAAATGGTATTTTACACTGCTCTGGAACGCATGGTACTAAAATTGGATTCCAGGTCCAAAATTCCTAGTTGCCTTTCTATTTTTATTCCAAAATCAGGCAAATTGTTTGTTATTTAGCTGACAAGGACAGACCTGTGGTAAATCGCTTAACTGGAGAATTATTTTCACACAGAAGTGAAGTAAGAGATTGAGAAGGATTTGCAAAAACTATTATAATCTCACTCTGAATGAAGTGTGAATCTCTGAAACCAGGAAAATATGGTCTATTAAATGAAACACCTCAGGAACCCATTACTCAGTAGCCTAAGTAACCCAAAGACAAATCTAGTATAGTGTTTAAGGTTTTAAAGTCAGAAGTAATTTTTCTCATCCAATAGTGAAGTTTTGTGAGTAGTAGGGAAATGTCAGTCCACCTTTCCTCAGCTAAAATAATTTTATCAGCATCGTCATTGATGTGGCTTTGCCATCATGTACTATTCCTGTATCTCAAAATATTCTGCACACATACAACTATTAAATGTCTAATAATGCAGGTGCTGCCATTGTAGATTAAGACAATATGATTATGTTTTTCCATACATTCATATCTTTAAGTTTTAGTCATAATGATAGTTATATTTGATGACTTGGAATCTAATAACAGCAAGAAAGATAATTCCAACAACATTAAAAGTAGCTCATTGACTGCTAAGAAACATTTACCAGCTTTATACAAGTTTAGTCAGCCAAGAATTGAACACAGTTAATTAACAGTGCATTGTCTTTTATTGTCTTCAGGCTTGAATAAATTATTAGAACAAAAGGTAAGCTGCAATTTCCATTCTTTAAGGTGCTGGTTTTCTTATAGCTCCTGCCCAGCGAAGATTTAGGTTTAAATTTGAAGAAAAGAAAAATATGTAAGTGGATTCTGAATAGGAAATCCAAAACTTGAATGTTTTCCTGTTCAAAGCTTCAGAGAGCTGAACTCACAAAAAAAAAAGGCCACTGAGAGCATTTCAATAAATAGTCTCTGTCTTGGGAGATAGAAGGCCAGTGAAGCACCTTGGATTTCCTGTGTTTTTATGGCTAGATTGATGCAGGATTTTGTAGATGTTGTTGACCTAAAATATGTAGATGTTGAGGAAGCATGGGGAGTCAGCTCCCAATTCCATCAGCTTCCAATTTGTTCCTTTGATTTCTTTAAAAAATAATTGTAAGCAAATATTCTTATGCCACTCTGCATCTCTAAGATAGGAATAGTAAATTCCTTCCCTTTGAAAAAATATTTTGAGACATGTTAGTAAAAAGTGCTCTGTAAGAGCTTTGCATTATTATTGTAATTTTAGAGATAATGAATGGTATCCTACAAAATAACTCAGTGTTACATGGAATACTAAATATTTTCTAACTTCTTGACTTTGAATTGCTGTTCAGTTTCTAAGCCTAGACTGATGCTTTGTTTGAAACCTCTTTGAAATAATTTCTACCTGTTTAAGCAATTTTGACTTTGCTGCAGACACAGCACAATAGTTGCATTATAGTAAGTATGACTGCTTGTCAAATGCAAACCCCAGACTTTCATCTCCTTACAACTTTGTGCTAATGCTGTTCAACTATCCATCAGTTAGATGACTTCCTGTCACACAAATAGCAGTAGACAAGTCTGCCTATCAGTTCTGTTTCTACAAATTTCCAAGTTTAAGAAACCAGGTTCAGTTTTAGGCATTATTTTAAGAGAATAAATAATTTAATAAAATCTAAAAAAAAAGATTTTTTGGGTGACAAAGTTTTATTTTCATTGCTTGAATAGCAGTTCACAAGTTCTCTGAATTCTTGACACAGTGTTGAGTGAAGCCCTCCTGAGCTGTAACATCATGTACCCTTTTGAACATCAGCAAGAGCAGACTTTTCCCATAAACACATGAGAAACATTCGGAGATGTGCTGCACATAAGAGTCACTACTCCAGATTTTGGGTGTTGACTCCACCAAAATAATTATTAGAATTATTAGAATAATTAGAATATTAGAATAATTCTCATCGCAAAAATCTCTCTCTGCTCATTTCTCCTTAGGCTGGGGTGATTGCACTCAGTAAATGTGTGTGCAGTTCCTGTTGTACTACCGAGTCCAAAATTAAAACCTTGTATTGGTTCTGCAATACTCAGATGAATTGCACTGTGAGATAAATTTTCATGTATTCTCAAGCATTTTATAATTCTGAAGGGAAATATTCCATAACATGCTTTTGCTTGTTTTTAAATGATAGCTAAGTCTTAATCATATTTCAGTTTAACACCTTTGGAAAGTAGATGAAAGACAAGCTGAATGCTTAAGACTTAAACAGAGAAAAACAAGAGGTTAAGACATAATTTTTCATTAAGAACATTTGCAATTAAATTTTGTGCACACGGATTTAATTATGAAATCCTTAGTGCGTGTAATGAACAAGATACAGTCACATTAAGGATGAACTGTACTAAAAAAAAAAATCAAATCTCCATCTCTGTAAAAAACATTGTTATATTTAAAAGAAACACAAAATAGTCAAAGGATTTATATCTGCTGTTAAAAGAAACAATAAAATGTTCATAATCACAGTTTTGTACATTAAAATGTGCATCAAAAGAAAAGAAGAATATTTAAATCTGTGGTAGTTTGATTGGCAAGTTTATATGCTGTTACTGCACTGGATTCATAATAGGTAACATTGTATTTTGATTATGCTTTTTTTTTTTTTTTTAATCCAAAGATGACTAAAATATTCCTTTCTGGGACTTAAGGGGAAGAAAGAATGAGATTTAACATCTGCAAATTGGTATGCAGTATCTAGTTGAAAAACAGAGGACATAGATCAAAAAGTTGTAATTATTATTTTATAAAGAACACTAATAGACCCGATAATAAAAATAAAAGATTCCATTTTGGTTATATTTGAAGCAACATTACTATCACTTTATTCTGCAAACTTTTTTTATAATGCAGCAAAAATACTCTCTGAAAACATAGCAAATTCAACAGGAACTTAACTCTTTTAATGTCCTTGTTATTTATTCCTTTCAGGGGTAAGAATATTGGACATGACATAGATTTTTTGATCACCAATCCAGGACCAAGAGAAGATGATGAACTTCTGCATAAAGTTGTTGACTTATGGAAAAAGCAGGTATGAACTAAAGACCACTTGGCCAAAAGAGGCATGTTCTAACTCCGCTGAATTAGGCCTATATATCTCTTAAAGAACATCATACTTCTTGTTACAGCTGACTGCAGTATTTTGGAGCAGGATTTTGCTCTATTTGATTACTAACCATGATGATTGTGTCATTTCTTAGAGGAGTTGCTCATCTAAGGGATGGATTTTTGGTTGTTTTGTTGGGTTTTTTTTTCTTTTTTTTTTTTTTTCTTTCTGTTCAGTTCTTCAGTTTCCAGCTGCTTTAAAGTTGGAAGTGTCTCAGTTATAACAGGTGCACGTAGCTAAAATATTCCTGGGTCAGAAAAATATAGGATGTTGGGAAAAATAAACTTTTGTTTTTCTTCTACTTTTCTAGCCAGCTGAGATATTTTTCAACATTTAATACCAACACTATTCAAAGAAATAGACTACATTTCAAAAAGTAAAAGGCCAGCACCCTGAGATGAATCAAGTGCTTCACTGCTAAGTCAAGTCAGCTTTCAGTGCTGACAGGCTGCAGAGGATGCTTTTGAATTGATTCTTGAGCTGTGTACTTCAATTAATGTATAATGGGTTAACATGTGAAAGACGAAAAACATCCAACTACACAGAATCTTATGTGACTGTATGAAGTTATCTGTTTCAAGGTCAAAATCTTTCAGCTGACTTGGATGGAAGGGCCTCACACTTGTTTTTTTTCTTGGTAAAATGCAACATTAGCTGAATTCCTATTCTTCCAGTTGATTTTTGGTCTTTAAAGTGTTAAAAAACTATTATTAATTTTTTAGATTTTTTCATTCCTCTGTGGAAGCTGTATGTGTTGGAGTAGATTGATAGCAGCTACTATTTAGACTATTCAAAAGCAATGAAGCCATGGCAATTAATGAGTTCTCAGGAAATACTCTATTTTTATCCATCATTTTATTATTAATGTATAGTCTTTTAATGATTATTATATTCCCTTTACTATGAGAAAAGTTGCCTCTTTTCTTAGAATGGGTCTTTTTACCTTCTTACACACACTTGAATCTCTAGGAAACCAGGTATGGGTCCTCCCAAAATCATCTTTGTTATAATAGAACAGAAGGGAAAAATGACAACAGACCAATGCTAGTGACTACCCCAAGTGCAGCCTTTCATTCTTTCTTTTCCACTTACATTACTGAGAAAAATGGCTGTGATCTGGGAGGTCTGACGAGTACTAAAAGTTTTTCAGTTCACTTTGAGCTGCTTTCATTAAAAGGAATTCAAAGAAAAGGAATTGAAAGTGAATTGTTCTTACTGATTTCTTTTTAAGGCGACTATTTGGCAGAAAGGAGAGCTGGCAGAGTATGGCAGGTCAAGGTGGCCAAGGGTTTGATAAAAAGATTAGGATTCCTCTTGAAATCCCAGCATGTAGAACGTGTCAGAAGCACAATGATCACAGAAACCAAACCCGAAGAAGCTGGGTATAGTTTAAAGCTGTGGACAATTATTTCCTGTGTTCTGTTTGTCCTCCAGACTTTTCATGGTTTATACTACTAGTTACACTACCTCTCTACTGTGGCATTTGTAATATACAGGCTTTTACTGGCACTACTGAAAAACAAGCTGCCAGCAAAATCAAAATGCAAAAAAGAAAGAGAGGATTTATACACCTCTTGCCTTTTTATTATCTTTGATTTCTAAGGGAGAGGGAAAGACAGGAAAAAAACCCAAATAAAGCACTTTTTTACTTTTTGCAGTAGTCTGCATCACAGCTTGCCACTTTTGTGTTGCTCCTCCTAAGCCCAAATTAATTGATGTACATCACAGAGGCCATGATGTTGACTTCATTTTGGCAGCTCTGAGTGAAGGATTCCACAATGTTTAACTTCTAAATTATAGACCACAGCTTTAAATAGTTTAAAGGGCCTTTTTCTTATCTCAAAAGTTTTGTGTTACAAGATCCTTCCATTGAAAGCTGTTGAAAATGAAGTGGCTAAATCAGCACCATCATGGTCTTTGATGCCGCATCACCAGGGATAAACGGGCTGAGGAACAGAGAACACGAAGTCTTCAAAGTAGAGCGGCAAAATGGAAAAGCTGTGATGCAGTACCCAGGTTACGGTCTTAATGGTTCCAAAAAGCCTCATAAAGAAAGTAAGAAATTACTTCTGTGGGTTAGAGCTTGAAAGTCTGTGGGCAAACAGGCTGAGCCATCTGTGCTGATGTAGCTTCGTTCACACACTGTGAAAAAAATGCTTTCATTTTTTGCTGAAAACCTGTATAGCTATATTTAGCACTGTTCCTGTTATATGCACCTACTTTCAACAATAGAAGAGATGCTGTTACTACAGGCACTCCTGCACTCTTCAGTTTTTCCCTTTATATTCATGTAAATATAATGTTGTTTTTCTTTAGGCTTTAGGAAGACGAGTGATGGAGATGCCTGCCTGTGCTTACCTATTTTAATATATTACTGGTCTGGTTTAAAATCTAGTATTCTCCCTTGATGAGGTGATCAGGAAGGGGAAGGTTTGATGTCCCATTAAAGAGGATGGTGAGGAGCTAGTAATATTTCTTCTTTTGCTGGAAACAGATTTTTGGAAACAGGGTTCACAGGAAAGCCACACATGCATTATTAAGTGATAGCTGGATTTTGCCAGCAACAAAACCTGTTTCTAAGACTAGACACAGAAATTATTAAGAAGCCAGAGGAAAGAACCTTTTGTTTCAGATGAAAGAGTGCATAAGGATACTGAGCTCCTTTGGGAACACATACTGTCTCACCTTTCTTCACAATTCATTATGAAATTTTTTGGTTTTTTTCTGACTTAGATGAGGAAATTCCTACCTAAAATAGATTATTGCAAGGTGATTAGAGCCTTGAACATGAGAGATCTTGGCTTAAATTTCTTTAGAGAGAGTACGGGGCTGATTCTGATTATCCTGCTTGTGAGGTTAAAGTAAGCAGAAGTGTTCAATTTTCTGCTGTGTTCTAAGTGAAGATCTGGTATTTCTTAAGACATGTGATCTTTCTGGGGTGTATTGCATAGCTGTGTGTGGGTGAGTAGGTACATGTAACTCCCTGTCTGTCTGTCTGTCTCTTTATCTTGCTCAGTAGTGCAAATGCCCATGGCATAGAGAGGTAAACACCTTCATTGATGGATTCCAGTGCTGAGCTGTTCTTTGCTGTCAAAGTCAGGCTGCTCCAACCATGCCCAGAAACAGATCCTTCCGGCACACAGGGAACTTCAAGATGAAAAAGGGACCAAGGCAGCTGCATGATTACGCAGTAGCTGCTGAGTTTTGCATTGCTGATCAAACCTTTGATGCCATTTTCTAGTGACTTCTTATCCTAAAAGGCCTGACTTCTCCCAGGCATCAGTTCCTTTAGCTCTTCTACTTTATAGAATTCCATCTGTCTCATCTACATTGAGATTTTTCCAAATTAACATTCTACATCCTATTTTGGATTAGATATAGGAATTTCGCTGAAAAAAAAAAATCCATTTTCACTTTATTAAACTATCTCAGAAGGAAATTGAGAGCAACAGCATATACATTTCAGAAGAACATATTGGATTACATTTTCAGATGATATAAAATGATCCTACTTAGCTTTAGCAGAATTAATCCAGCTAGCAACAATTATGAATGACAGCATGTAGCACTAAATATAGAATAGTATTCCATTTAATTAAAAATGACTGAGAATGTTAGTGACCATATTTGATTGATTTTTCAGTGATTGATTTAATATTTTTCTAAAAAGTCTTACTTTTTCTAAATTTGAACATGGATTTACTCCAATATCAATCCTATTGATGTGCCAGAACTCAGCATATTTAAGTAAAAGTGTGCGGTCATTCTAAAAATGGAAAATTGTTGAGAGTCTTCACATAACTGTTCTAAAAAATACATTTAGTTTTGATGGTGTTGTAAATTTGAGAATTTAAAATGCCCACACTTTAAAACTTGATTGTGTAAACAAGACCTACAGCACTTTATGGTGTACAGATCAATCTGAAATGCAGATTCCCTGGCTCAGAGTAATGAGAAGGACGCAGCTCTGCAGCTAGCAGTGGCCACAACTTCACACAATCTTCATAGCTGACTGCCCCTTCAGGCAATGCTTTTTCCAAATGTACCCAAGCGCCATTTCAACTTTACTCTATGGGGTGATGGTCATGTCCACTGTCTAATTATACTAGGTTAATTGGAAACACTATCCCAATGTGCATGACCTAGGCTTTGGCTCCTATTAATGGTGATACCCTGACTTCTGTTATATACTGCGTAGTGTCCCAAATCTCCAAGAGCAAAGAGAAAAATGAAGCAAAAAAATGAGAAAACACTGCTGAGTAGCTAACAGATTTTTATAGAAAATGGGAAGAATATTGGTGCTTAATCAAAGCATGAATTCATCAATTAATGGTCAATGATTAATGATATTAAAATTATTTTTATTAGCATTATAAGCAACAAAATTAACTTGAAAGGAGGATAGTCTCATTTAAAAAAACAGGAAAATAAGCAGCTATGCATTAACACTCAACAGCTGTTTTGAGTCTATATTTGGAAAGAGCAAGCATCAGTGCCTTGTGACATTGGGGTAAAATTAAGAAAAAATTGCTGTTTTAAAGATAGATGTTACAGAGCACCTGCTAAATTTAAGCATTTTCAAATCAGCAGACTTGGAAACTAGTCATCCAAGGGAAAGAAGCTACATAAGGAATTTTCTTATATCAGTTTATAATAAATCTTCATAATCAGGAAAAATTCCAAATAAGTGAAAGAATGCCAATTTAAATAAAATAGTTATCATTAAAAAGGCTGGCTCATTGACCCATGAAAAGCCTATAACTGATTTCCAGTAGAATAATGGGATTGTTAATTTGGAGCTATCATCAACAAAGAAGCTGGAGGCTAAAAATGTAATAATATATATCAGTGTCTCTTCATGGAAATCATATCTTGTTAAGTGTTTTTGATATGCCCTTTTTTTTGGGGGGGGGGCAGAATTATAGCTCTGAGTGTTAAAAGTAATTTTATTACTGTAAAGTATTCTCTAAGACATTTAAGATACTGTCATACAAAATCACCACACCTGTGCTAAATAAAAGAAATAATAAAAATATCTTTTTAAATACCGAGATATTCTTCCAAAAATCAGGTCATTGTTACCTGGGACATTAAGAGTCTTATCTGGAGACCTTTCATCCTGGTTTTGGCCCAGATCAGAGGGAAGGGGTGTGGCCAGACCCTAATGTTATTCAATACCACTTTCCATCATCTCCAGAGATGGAAGAAAGGGACTTTCTCTCTTCCTAGAAGAAGGATTTTCCTTCCAGTGGGAGAAAGTGTGGTGGTTGAAATGGTCTGGTATTTTACATGTAAATCGTTTCTTTGTCTTATACCTTTTGTTGTTAATAGTGCTGCTGTTACTGTTTGTTCTTACCTCATCGCTGTTTCCAGGAAATTTTTCTTATCTCAGCCCATGATCTTTGCCTTTTTGTGTTTTCAGCTGGGGCAGAGGAGGGGGAAGCAAGAGGAGTGGTTTTAATCGGGCTACTAAATGGGAAAATACCATTCCTAAACTACAACACCATTGTAGTTAACAACTGACAGCCATCAAATAAAACCACTTATAGGCACTCTCAGTTCAACACCACAATTTTAAAAAGCCCGTAGTCCAGAGGAAGGAGGATGTGTAAACATTTGAGTGATTTCAAAGCAGAAAAAAGTGATTCAAGGACCTAAAGAAATGGGCATTCCCTCTGAGCAAAAGACATGGCCAGGGATCTTCCATCTCTCTGGAGACTCCAGATCTTGTCACAAGGAAATCTCATGCAACAGATGCAGTCCAAATGGAATCTTCCACTTTGGAATCCATGAGCAAGACTGTGCACTGGACTAATCATCTTTTTCTAGATGTCTGTCACATGGGAACGTGTCAATCCTTACCCAGAAATTTCTGTTGACATTTCCTAGAAAAAGGCTTGGGAGAAAATGAGGAAGGGGAAGAATTGCAAATTCTATTTCTTTAGTACAGGGCAGGACCTCACTACTGTCAGATATCTACCAGTGCAGATTTCCCTCAAATATTTTTTCAAAGGCTGAAGCTGTTTCATGTCTCTCCTTAGCCCAGATTTGCTCTGGCACTGGCATTTGTTCTTTGTTTACTGAAATTACATTTCACATGAATTTTTAAGACAGCTGTCTAGAAACTCTGGAATGACAGTAAAACCAGTTCAGCAATTCAATGTGAACAATGTCTTCTCTTCAGGGCTTACTCCTTTATTGTGATATCATTGAATCAACATTTGTAAAGGAACAGCTGCCAAGCAGAAAAGTTGATGCCATGGATCATTTTCAGAAGTGTTTTGCAATTTTAAAATTATATCAGCCGGGAGTAGACAACAGCACTTGCAACACATCAGAAAAATCGGAAATGGCAGAAGTCAAAGACTGGAAGGCAATCCGTGTGGATCTGGTCATAACCCCCTTTGAGCAATATTCCTATGCTCTGTTAGGCTGGACAGGCTCCAGGGTAAGTAACCACAGCAGTGTATGTTTTCTCAGCATTGCAAACACATTTTTGTTGTTGCAGGACTATTCAGAGTTCATGGATTAAAAAAAAATATTCCTGATGTCCACACATCACATTTCATGCTGTCATCCACCCCGATCGTGGGTTGGAGCTGATGAATTCATCACTAACTTTTCTGGATGTCTCTCTAGGAGAGTTAAGTTCTATTTTCCTTGAAGCTTAGTGTTTAGGTTTATAAACTAGAGAACTAGGTTTTTGGTCAGTTGTGTTGTCTTTTTACATCATGATACTGTTAACAAGCAATTTAAATGGTTACAGAGTAGAAAGATGATTTGGAAAGTGTCACATAATTTTACAGTAAATTAAACATTTGAGGAAGAGATATTCTGAATTGGAACTTAATTTGTTTTGTAGGAAATTGAAAACTATTTAACATCTTTCTTTTTGGACTAGATCAGATGTTTTGTTTCAGTTGCATTTTAATTGACTCTTAAATTGTAAAAAACTGGAAAAAAATTAAAATTAGACATTAGTTTTGAACTAGAATAAAATACATTTTGATTTATGTTTTAATAAGAAAACTTGAAATGATGTCTACTTTCACAATAGACACTAGTTAGCTGGCATAATATAAAATAGTACACTCTTTTAAAAACAAAAAATTCTACCTAATGCAAACTCAAAAGATTAATCTCTCTCCAGACAGAATTATTTTTTAATCTGTTCTACATGCTTGCCTTCTGATGTTTATTTTTAAGGGAGTGTTTATATGGTACAATGGAGAGCTTCTGAGCCTGCTCTGAATTATCTTTTTGATGTGCTGGAAGCAGTACTGGTACCTTGCCACTCTGTTCTACTCAGGTTAATTGAAAGCAGGATGGTTTAGACCTGGAAAAATGTTGAAATTGATGTGTTCTCGTGCTGAGCTTGAGTTACTTCAGTCACTTTTTTGAGATAAAAAAATGTATTTGTTTGGGCTTTGGATTAAGTTCTGCAGACTTTGGGGTCCTTTCTTATCCTGGAAGTGTTTGGTGACTTAAAAGCCCTTCTCTCAACTCTGTAGATAGGAGTCTACACTAAAAACACACAGTGTGAGGCCCTTTGGATAAGTAAGCAATGACTTCATGACTTTTTCTCTGCCTCACTGAGCTCCTACTCCCTGTTGGGCTAATTCACCTGCAGACTGTGGGAGCCCATCACAGGTTTACTTTCTTATACAGAGCCCAACTACTGTCACAGTAACTGACTGATGGATGGATGCAAATGTTTGGCTTCCTTATCCAAACTTTTCCCTTCAGATGATTGATTTTATCAGACTATATTCCTTTAACAGAGGTAATTTTTAGACCCTAGTTTATTATTTGGTTTGGTGTTAGAAGGTGCAAAGAATAAGAATTTTGGTTTGTGCATGTGTTTCATATTTTCTCTATCTTTGACAGCAATTTGGACGTGATTTGCGGAGGTATGCTGCACATGAAAGGAAGATGATACTGGATAACCATGCACTATATGACAGGAGAAAGGTACTGTTTATTCTCAGAAATAAAGCTAATGTGTTATTATTTTCGAGTGTGCATTTCCAGTTACTTTTTTATATTCAAGTATATAGAATATCTTAGCTTGATTATCCATTTGGTGGTAAAATAGTTCCACCTTCACATCATTTAGTTTCACTGGAACAGCCTCATTAAATCTGAACAAGTAAGTCTGGAAATCCTTTTTTTTTTTTTTTTTTTGGCAATTGTGAAGTAATTCCTGAAATGTAACAAGAAACATGAATTAGATGTTTGTGTTTGATAGGAACTGTGCAGCCTTCACAGAAGTGAGAACAAACCATCTGCGAGTATTTGAAAAATGTACTTCACTGCCCCACTGTCTCAGAAGGAGAGATCATTTCTGTGTCCCCCACACACTTTCAACTCCTGTTGGTCTGACATTGCATAGGAAGAGGGGACATTGAGTGTTACAGGCTCAGTTGGAAGGCTTGAGGAAGTTTATGCAGGGTATGACACTAAGTAGGGATTATGGATCATCCTGCTTTTAAAGCCCTGCATTCAGAAGTCTGGGTGGAGTTCACTTTAGTCAGGCTTGGTAGCCTGGGGAGTAATTGGTATAATTTCTGGTATATAGGCTCTTGGCTGCAGTTATACTGAACTCTGCATTTATCTGGCTTAATGTCTTTATTTGCATTAGGCCATTTAAATAATAAGCAAAAATCTATACTGAAGATGCTTATTGATGTCAATATAGGGAACGGCAAAGTACCACGTGAAGATTTTACATTAATCTTTCCTATATATTCTTTATAGATTGGAGACTGCTTTCAGCCCCCCTGCTTACATGCAATATTGTCTCATTGCTTCTTTCTGAGATGCAGGAGTGATCTAAGCCATCACTCCATTTCAGCTGTCTCCATATGTGCTCATCAGGTCCAGATGTTGCTATAGCATCCTCAGTTCACATGGAAACCTGGGGAAATTATCAGGCTAATTATCCATTTAGTCAGATATCCTGTCGCCAGCAATTGTCAATACTAGATGCTTCAGAAGAAAACATAAAATCAGTAGTAGATAAATATGCTATCATGTGTCTAAAGAGGATGTTTCTTCACAAACTCAGGGATGATGTCAGTGTATTCCTGCCTGTTTTTATATTTTGAAAGTATTTAAAATATAAACTCTTCTTCTCAACATAACATGGTTGGTGTTATTATCTGCACATTAATATGTGCTCCATTCAATAGCTTTTTGGGTGTAACAGAAAATGGCACTAGGGAAAACCAAACAATTCTAGGAATCCCAGTGTTATTTTTTGTATGCAGCAAAATTTGCCTGCTTGGTGTATGGGTATGTATCATTATATCTGCTGCTTTTACTCAGAGCCCTGAAGCTTTCAGGGATGCAAAATGGACACTGTTCTTTCATGAACAACATCAGTCAGTATTACTTTTTCTTGATTATATTTCGGCTTTATAACTGATATACCATTAAAATCTTTGGGGACGGGGATGGGGGCAGGGGGATTGAGTTTCCATGTGTTTTTGACTTAGCCATAGATTAGCCATGATGATTCACAGATAAATGATTCATTTATCTTCACAGTATCCTCTGGGAAGAAAGATGTTCTTGTCATCCCAAATTTTCAAGTAAAGAGCAGAGGCAGAGAAAGGTTTAAGGTCTTAAACATCCATTGATTTCAAGGGCCCTGCATTTGCAGTGTCCGGCCTTAAGTTTTTCCTGTTGAGTATCTGCCTTGGAAATTTGAAAAATCTGAAGAAATGTGTATACCCATGTTGTGGTTCCCCAAACTATCAACTGTAACTGTAATTTAGTCTCCAGACCGTCTACATGTCTGAGTCTCAATTTACATTTCCTCAGTTCCTCAACTGTACTGCCCAAAACTGAAGAAATGGACCTAAAGCAAGGTCTGAGAAGAAAAACTCAGAAAATTTTCCTTATTCCTTATCATAAGGCAGGAGTTCTTCACAAAGGCAAAAAAAACCCAAAAACCAGCAAACCAAAAACCATACTGAATGAAACCCAAAACACCCAGACCAAATCTTCAGGGAAAATTTCTACTGCCTTGACCACAAGGTCCTTAATCTACGATTTCCATATATCAATTGAGGCACATGGTTGGGTCAGCTGTCCCTTTCAGGAAGGGACTTGGCTTTCAAATCTGTCATCATCCTCCTTGCTCCCCAATATCTAGGTCTGCCATTTCTCATTTAGTTGCAAACACAGCTAGTTTGCTTCCAAATTCTGTTTTTTTTTTGCTGTAAACCACAGATGCACTGCAGATTTCAAACACAAGGAGTTGTGTTAATATGTTGACTCAGCAGAATACTGTTCTTGTTTCTGCTGCAGTCTCAGAAAGAGCTAAATTGCATTAGCTGACTTTTTCCACACAGAAGGAAACTTCCAAGGCAGATATGCAATATGAAAAATTTCAGACCAGGCAGCACTGAATTTATAATCTGCTTAACACAGGCTCTTTTTTCAAATAATGTTATTCTAACAAGAAGCAGAGAGATTACTCTCTGGCAAGTATATGAATATTTATAATCCAATGTGTTAAATTCAAATATATTTTGAAATTACTTTTAACTTTACAATTTTGTACTAAGATATTCCCACAAATGAGTTTGAACAAAAACCTTCCATACTGCCACCCAGTGTGTAATATGATCAGAAATGTGCAGAATGTAGCAATGGTGTCTGTCTGTGAAATTTGATGGCCTATAGTGGAAGAGGAGAAGTTTGCAGTAAATTGTGTGGCTGCCAAGGTTGATTAATTTTTAGGGTCATCAGAGTAGTATGCTTAAAATAAGTGATAAAAATAATATGTAATTTTGCACAAGGGAACATATGCCCAAATTTTAAAATGTTTAGGGTTGGTTTGTTGGTTATTTTTTACATTAAACCATGAAGAGCAGAAACTTTATTCTAATCCTTGGGCTTTTCATTTAAAATGGTTTGACTCATAAGGAACAATAAAAACATGGGTATTTTATTTATACTGTCTCATAAAATTAGATTGGAACATGAACATTTGTGTTTCATAAGTATATTTCTCTTTGTGAGAGGAAATCTTCCTTTCTTAAAGCTAAAAACATCAGGAAGCAGATATCCCTTGTGCAAGCTGCTCAAGATCCCTCAACACAACCTTAATTAAGGTTAATTAGGCACCCCATGTGAAAGTTGAAACATATATTTTCCATATTTCTCTCCTGGTCTGCTGAAGAGAGGTCATCTTATATCACTGGCTCTGTCCAGGCAGACAAACCTTCATGCACAACTCTAACAGTCACTGGGGTATTGACAGGTAGAATTTGGGAGCTGGACCAAATCCTTTTTGCTTCATTCTTTTTCTTTTATTAGTCTGTGTGTACAGAAAAAAATATAGGAAGATCAGGAAGAGTCAAACTATTCCTTGATCCTGTGGAAGACCAAGTCCTTTCCTTAAAACACACTTGCCTGTCATAATTTAAAATTTTTCAAGTTATTATAAGAAGTTAATAAACCATGCTATAGCAAATATTATTTGCTCTTATTTAATTTCTATTTGGTGGAATGTAACTGTACTTGTAAGAAATGTCATTCATTACAAAAGAAAACAATTTCCTGATTTGCTCTACATTTCAATATATAATTCAGTATACTTTATTCTTCTATATTAATATTTATCAGCTGTTTGGCGCAGATGCTTGAACTGTGGCCCACTGCTTGAAATGTGATGCATGTCACAGAATCCCAGATTCCAGCTTTCAAAGGGCTGCAGCAGGAGAGAGTCCTGCTTACTTTAATGTATTTCCAAAGGGATTCTGCCAGGAATTGGGAGCATTAACACAGCAGTTAGGAATCAATTACATAGCTTTGCAGATGGGAACAAAAGGAAGAGAAATTTTCTCCTGGGACTTGTTACAAAGTTACACTGTGAAATTATTCCTTAGCCTTGATTTATTTTTTTTTCTTTCTAGTGTGAATCTTTTTCGTATATTTGTTGGTTTTGGAAGACAGTGTGCAATTATGAAACTAATGATTTTTTCAGTTCTGTAATAAGAAGGGCATTTCTGTAGATCTTCCTTTCACAGGAAAATTGTGACAAAAAATTGAAAATTTGCTACCAATTATCTGTCAGCCTCTTTTACATGAAAAGATGAGTGTCTGTAGAACTGTGTACTAAAGGTATGGAAATTAGCACTTGTATGTTCCAACCTGAGGTATGTAGTTCCTGTGATTTACACCAGCTGGAGGTCAAACCTAACTGATCCCCACTCTTACAGAGTAGAGTTCACTGATGAGTCATGAGGAAGAAAGAGAAGTTGTACATTCCCCATGTCTTATGGTATTACTGCTGCTACAAATGGCATGATATTTTTATGAATGGGCAAATAAAATTCTCACTGTAACACTTCCCCTATTCATGAATGAACAATACGCTCTCTATGAAAAATAGAAATGGTTTTGCAAAAAAAACCCCAACCAAACCATTTCTCTATGTGAAGCATAAGTCAGGTCAGCTGAACAGTAGGCTCTTCCTTGGAAAAATTAAAGTCCTCAGTCTGTAAACCAGGACATCAACAGTTGTTTTGACACTCCTCTGTGTTGACTAGGAAGCAATTATCCCTTAACCCACAACAAAAAGTTTTTGGGTACAGTGTGCATTGTCTCTGGACTAGTGGTGTGTATACTAGGGCATTGTTGGCAAGTTTTGACATCTTGACAGCTTTTTACCTGGGAAATAGACATCTAGTGGATCTAACTAAAGGTCATTTAGCCTTCCTTGGTCTCACTTCTCATCAGTAAAACCTAGTTCCCATGATGGAAATGTGCAGTAATGGTAAGTAGTTAACCACTAAAGAAAAAGGTATTTCACTTTAATGAAGAATTTTGATCACCCAGTGTTTTGTCTTTAAAACTAGAAGAGAGAACAAAGGTTTAATGGAGAATTTTGATTATTCAAAATTTGCTTGGTTTCTTTGAGGGAAAGTAAAAATGTTGGCACTTTCTACTAAAGGAAT